ATAAATTAAATAATTTAAATATAGTAATAGTAATTTAAATTCGTTATAGCACTTTGAAAAATGAATAATTTTTTTAACCCCGTATGCAAAAATCATATTATAAATACATTTATTTACAAGGCTTTCATAGCCATTACATTCATGATGAAGCTACGAGCAGTTAATGATGAAGCTACGAGCAGTTAGGGTTTATCACAGGTTTCCGTAAGAATAATCCAACATGTTTTAGTCATGGATAACTCTATGTTGCAGTTTAAAGAATAAATAATCGTAGTGGGTTGAAGATTCTGATATGGAATGAAGACAATATTTCCACAAATTTACAAATAATGTAGTCTATAAAGAAGTCTTTCGAAATTTGTAAAGCAGTGATGTTTTGTACCTTAAACTAATATAATCTCTATATTCTATTGCATCTCATTTTTTATCATTGAAAAATGATTTGAATTTAATAACATAAAAATGACCCGTGCAACGCACGGGTGTGATACTAGTCTTTTTAAATCAATAGACTGTTTAATACCTTTAGGTTTTGATAGATTTTTAGAATCTAAATTAAATATCTTTAGATTTTAAATAATTTTATAAAATCTTAATTGAATATCCACTCACTTTTAAAATCCAAAAAAGAAAATCGCAAGAAATCAGAATTAAATACAACCCCTTAATCTACTCAATTCCTAGGGAGAAATAAATCTCATTTTTCAATGGTATGTACACCGTAGTACCGAGCATAATAAAGTCACCTTTTCGTGTGCTTGTCAGCTTTGTGTTGTTGTTAGGAACGTAATATTGACTTAACATTTTGATAACTTTTGCTTATTTGTGTTTTTTATTAACTACGGAATATTTGATAACATAAAATATTTTTATAAACTTTTAATTGGAAATCTTTTGACGTAATTTTTTAATATATGAGTTTTATTATTTACTCTTATACCAAATGTTAAATAAAATAATTCCAAAAAACATAAAATTTCCCCTTGTAATTCGAAAGAATTGTAAACTAGTTTGGGATAGAGGAAGTATTGTTAATTACCCGGAGTAGTCAATATGTCCCAATTTAAGTTATTTGTTTACTATTCAAATTTTCATATTTTAACCACGTTCTTTAATTTATCTATATTTGTTATCTATTTGAGAAAAATAATATAGTCGTGCCACATCTTATTTTAATTATGATGTAATTTTAATTAAATACTCCTTTCATCTTGTTTTATAGAACTTTGGACGTAATTTTTTAATATGTAATTTTTGTTTCTTATTGATTTATCAATTTGTAAAAAAGAATAATTTTAAAAATCGTGGATGTTTACAATGTAGGGAGTAATTCTTATATTATAATCAGAATAGGAACGAAAAACTACTATTTTTCAAATAAATTAAGACGAAGAAAATACTCCCTACTTAACTTAGAAACTTGACTATGTTTTATTCTAAATTAGTTCCTTTTTTTGAAATGATTTGAAATGTATTTTTAAATTTTGTATCAATATTTTGACAAAAATATAATTTTAATCAAACTAATTTTTTGGAAATATGATGTGGAGAATTGGAGAGGATGCTAAACAACTGTACTATGAAGGTACACATGAGATTAAGGATGCCACGTGGCAATTCAATAATCCAATTCCTTTATCCATCGCCATTCAAGATAAGCCCCCTCCCAATTCACAGCTTCAATTCAATTCACATCTCAGTTCGACCCTTTCTACCTTCAATTCAGAAATGGCGGCTTCCGTCTGCGCGTCGCCTACAATCGCCGCCGTAGCTCTCTCTTCCACCAGGCAAGTCCGATCCGACCGCTTTTCATGTATTTCGTGTTCGAAGAACTCATACGAGCTCGAATTTTTGTTTTGGGAACTAATTGCAGCTCCCGATTAAAGGCTAACAATCCTTTCCTCGCCGGGAGAAGAGTGAATACGAGAAAGTTAGCTGCTCCGGCCGCCACGTCATCGAGATCGTCTACAGTGCGTGCGGTGGCGGCTGATCCCGGCAGACCCATCTGGTTCCCTGGCAGCACCCCTCCTCCCTGGCTTGATGGCAGGTTAACTAGTACTCTCTATATCTCAAATTAAGTTGCCTTTTTTTTTAAAAAAAAAATTAATTTATCATTTTAATACATTTTCTTGAAATGCCTAATTTTTGTCAAACATGTAAGATATATAGGAACCTATTGATGGTGGAAATGATTTTTCAAAAAGTTACTATGACTAAAACATGTTTCAGATACAAAAATAAGACCTTTAATACTTTTATCGGCACGGCTCTTATGACATTGAGATAAAGGTAATCCGGGCCTCCTATGCTGCTCCGTTCGAAAAATCGATGATTCTTACCCCTAAGCCCCCAACCCCCGAGCAAATCGGAGATATGAGGGGGCGTGGATGCAGGGGGTGCCGGCTGGGGAGGGAGGTAGGGTATAAGAACCATTAATTTTTCGAACAGAGTGCCGTGGAGCCCTGGGTATATTTTTATTCTAATATAAAACCACTTATTATAAACCATCATTATAATATTTTAAATCTTGTTTAGGTAGATTTCTTCAAATTAAATGTTACTACCATCATTCCCGAGGATGGGAGTTTTGAGGTTATTTGACAGTATTTTTTGGGGCTTAATTCTCAAAGTTTAGAAACATCCCTTAGATGCTTTTGGATTTTGCATTCAAAACACTCACTTAATCAAAATGTTAACCGAGGCTAAGCACACTCTTTGCACTTTGGAGTACTATTTTTGTTACAAGACTGCATTATAAATAGTTAGTTACGCAAATGTGTACGAAAGTTTGTTATAAATTTGATTACTACGTATACTGTTTGTAAGACTTCTTGTGTTACAAAGTGCGTAGTATATATTATATAAGAATGATATTCCTTTGTAATGATCTCTCTACCGTGCAGCCTCCCTGGAGACTATGGTTTTGACCCTCTTGGTCTTGGTAAGTAAACTTCAATATGTATCCAAGCTCATTAGCCTATATAGGCCCGTTTGGCAGCAACTTCAGTGTTTTGTAAAAGCTATGTATGTAACTGCAGCATTTAGCTTTCACGTTTTCAAAGTTGGCTCTGATCTATACCATTGAAAAAATACGGAGTAATCCAAAACACGAACGTCAATCGATAACGTGGTTCCCAAATGAAGCAATAGTATTTGAAAATGAAATGTTTTAGCAATTTAACCATTGTGAAATACCAGATCATGATCATGGCGACATGGTTCTGTCTTTAAGATCACCTAACACTTTGATTATTCTTACACACGAGAAGGTGTGTAATATATCCCATTGACATTGCCATGGCTGTATTGTTGAGGACAGCATCTGATCCGGAAAGCTTGAGATGGAACCAGCAGGCAGAGATTGTGCATTGCAGATGGGCAATGTTGGGCGCGGCGGGCATTTTCATCCCGGAGATGCTCACAAAGGTTGGGATTCTGAACACTCCTTCATGGTACACCGCCGGCGAACAACAATACTTTGCCGACACAACGACTCTCTTCGTCGTCCAGCTGGCACTCATCGGTTGGGCAGAGGGGAGACGGTGGGCAGACATAGTGAAGCCGGGCAGCGTGAACACGGATCCCATCTTCCCCAACAACAAGCTCACCGGAACTGATGTGGGTTATCCGGGCGGGTTATGGTTCGACCCGCTGGGTTGGGGAGGCGGGCCCGGTTCTTCCCCAGAGAAGATCAAGAAGTTGAGAACCAAGGAGATCAAGAATGGGAGGCTAGCCATGTTGGCTGTCATTGGTGCATGGTTCCAGCACATATACACAGGAACTGGACCTATTGATAACCTCTTGGATCACCTGTCTGATCCTGGTCATGCCACTATTTTCGCTGTAAGCACAACCACTCTCATCACTCTAGCAACATATATGGACATACACACACACGCGCGCGCGCGCACACATACATACTTTGGGGTTAACAATGGCTGTGATGAATTCAATTTGGATTATACTACAGTCAAACCACAAATGACATCTAAATTGATACAACTATGTCTCACTGACAATGACAGTCAGTGTGCGATTGTGTTCGTGGTGGTGACACCACAGATGCCATCAAGATTGACAATGCCGGTGTTTCACAAACTATGGCATTTTAGCTTTCTAATAGCGCTTCACAAACAATGATGTTTTCAGGCTTTCACCTCCAAGTGAAGCTGGATGAGAGAAGCCATCAAAAAGATCATCTTGTCGGAGATTCACCGGAGAACGCGGCGTCATAATCACATCTAGAAGATGACAGCTATGATAGCAATGGTGTTCCTTAGACAATGAAATCTGGTTTATAACATATTATTATGCTGTGTTTTGTACAAATTAAATACTCTATAAGTTATATAAATTAGAATATTGTTAAAATTTACTCCCTCCCACCTTCCCACTTAAGTATATGTGGTTTAACTATATTTTCACTCCATAATTTGATCATACGATGAAATTACGTTTGGTCTCCCAAATGTGATCCCAACTTTCTCAAGAACACATCAAATATTATGGAATAAAAATGTTCTTTGTATGTGACACTCTCTACCGGTCCAACCCGGATTTTGTACACTCCTATCTAAGATAGACGCGTTTACACCAATATTTAAATAAATTAAGTTAAAAATAATTTTGCATTAAATATCATAAATCAAAATGAAACAAAAAACAATGGCACCATGGGAGCAGAATATAACTCTGTATATTTTATGATATGATTACAATACCTATTTTCAAAACTTTAACCATCCCCAAAAAAATCAACTCGTGTTCATATTTAGCACTATAGGGATTTTCATTTGTTCAACACAAGATTTGTTTGGAAATAACATTTGTGATTAACATTAACATTTTAGATACTTGTTTAAAGATGCAAATTAACTTGGAAAATACTAACACTAAACGCTATTAGTAGGTAATGTTTTCAAAAGGTTGAAGCTAATGCCAAATAAATCCCAAGTCAAAATAACTTCTTTAAAACTATTCTTACCATGCTAACACACATTAAAGTTCACATGTCTTTCTTGGGCTATGGTTGCGTTCCGTTCGCTTGATTTGATTAAACTTTTTGAAGATCTCATCAGATCTGGTCTGATTGCAGTCATAGTTAAACCTGTTTCTGATCTGATTATAATAAGAATAAGTGATAAGCAGAAAGAATAAGTTGAACGGAAATGAGTTGAACGGGACGCTGCCTAAGTTGGATGCTCTTTTACAAATCTTCATTTTGCATTTCCAAAATGAAATACATCATCTTTTTCAAAAGGTGTTATAATGCTTGTATCAAATTTGCGGAACAAACATTTGAAGATCATCTTATTAGGCAAATGAGACATAGTTAATAACTTCATGTCAAAAGGCAACTTCATTTACTTTATGTAGTTCACAGAATACTTCTATTACTGTTCTTGTTAAATTTAAAATGCACAAAGAATCGAAAGAAGAAACCCCAGTTAAAGTGAACTCCACACACTGATGCATATTTTACCAAATGGATTCTATCCCTTTGGTTCAAACAATGTATGGTTTGCACTTCTGCAAAAATGTTGCTGATTTTAGAACCACAGTCCCACGTTCCGTCGGTTCTAAGATCAAAATCGTGTCTTTTTCAAAAATGCAAACCAAAGTGACCAAATGTCAACAACAACAACAACAAAAAGACCAAAACTTCAATCACGAGGCAAACCAGCAAAGTATAATTGGTAGCAGAGCTTACTGGCTCTTCCCAATGACATAGCCATAAGCTCATCTTCAACTCTCCTCAGTGCTCACATTCCCACAAACATTACACTCCATTAATGTTGATGGAGATGCATCAGAAGGAGGGAGCGGAGCCAATGTGCCCCCGCAATTATCTCTACTGCACATGAACCTTACGAAGAAGAACGCATGAGGAAAATCCCCAACAACTTCCCCTTCCATGTCTTCCTCTTCCATAGCTTCCTCCTCGTCTTCGCTCATTCCACTCCCATTTCCAGACATCTTTTCTGCTTCTTCTTCTTCCCCCTCATCATCATCATCATCCCAATTAGCCTCCACATTGCAGCGGTCACAATTACACACGAACCCATACTCCTCCTTCAACCGTCTCTGCCTCTCCGAATACTTGAAGTTAACAGGGAAGTAACTCAAACACACTTCCCAGCCCTCTGTGATGTCATGGAGAGCCCTAACTATGAAGTCTGTATTGGTTCTTGAGTTGAGATCGGCGTCTATGTAATCAAACCTGCAAGCATTTGGAAGGCAATTGTGGTTGAAGAAGGAGGCTCTCAGATAGATGCCGAAGGCCCTCACAGATCTATCCTTTTCGGGATGAAAAGGCTCCATCAATCCAAAACCGTTTATACTGTCTATAGCCAGAAGAGTTGCGGTCAGCTCCATGGAGAATCCGAACTCAGGGGCAGGACTAGGGCAGAGGGAAGACATCAGAGAATGGAGGAATCTAGCATCGTCTGCGGGAATTGAAGACGGATTACCTTGAAGGGAGAGAAGAATTCGGAAATCCGGAGGAGAAATTGAGGCGAGGTTGTAGGCGGCAAGGAGATAACGAGACAAGACTTGGCGCTCGTGGCTTTGTGCTACGAGGGGAGAAGAAGAGCAGTCCCGGAGACGGCGGAGAGACTGGCAGATCCAAGGGGAATGAGAAGAAGATCCGGCGACGGATTGGCAGCCGGAGCTGCAGAAGGCGGCGGAGCAAGCCGGACAAGAGGGCGGAAGCGGCAGGGAGGCGATCTCTCTGAAGCAATTGGAGCAGTAGACGTTGTTGCTCCGATGGTGCGGCCCTGAGGCCGGGAAGAAAGGGAAAGCCGAGTAGAGAAGAAGAGGGGAGTCTCTGAGGACGATCTCCCCGGCTCTTAACGGGGCCGACGCCACAATCGATCTGCCTTTCCCTTCTATCTCTATGACACTCAATTTTGGAGCAGGAGAAGATGCCGGAGATACCGTATCAATACCGGCCATATTCGCCGGTGAACTGGCGCCGGTCACCATTGTTTGATAGGTACTGTAAAATTGCCGGCCGAGCGCGGTTAGGGTTTTGATTTTTGAACAGTCCCTCAAGGGGTTTTGTACTCAATGAGTCAATGATTTTAGTAAGAAGATTTTTCAGGAATAAAAAAAAGAGAAATCCTTTAATATAATAAAGGAGACTCGGATGCACAGAAATTCGACATTTGGCATGTCTATGTGACAAAATTTAAACATATCAGCATGCCACGTAATATCTGAGTAAACCAGTGGAAATAAATTATATAGGAATGTATACAATGCACCAGCGTATCTTCCGTTGAAAACAATTGACCGTAGATTTTCTACGCGATAATCACTGGCCTTCAACGAAATTCTTTGCTTCAGATTACAACAATACGAACTCTTATTATGATGATAATATAAAATAATTAAAAATAAATATGAAAAAAATATAAATACTATTAAAAAATAAATATAATATTTTTCATTTAATTTAAATAGAATTTTAGGACCATGCTACATATATTAATCCTTTATCTTACTTTCATATTTAAAAATTAAATACTTAAATTTATAAGTTACAAAGGTTTATTGTGGAAATTTTTGTATAATAAGAGTTAAAATCAATAGAGTACCTATATTGATGGAAATCAGAATATTATTCTTTACAAAAAAGATTATTAAGAAACAATCCTAAATAATACTAATTTTGAAAATGATGATCACGGGTATATTACTCATCACCTTACTTATATTATGTATGTTGGATAATGCTAATATTATTTTGGATCCGTTTACTTATATATGAAAATCCTTAATTATGTGTCTTGAGAAAAGGGGTACCGATTATGCTATTGAAGAACATTGACCAAACATCTGAATTGTGTAATGCGACAAGATTAATCGTTCAAGAGCTGCGAAATAATGTTAACGGTGCAATTGTGGTTTCGGAAAATCGAGTTGAGGAAAAAGTTTATGTTGGGTTAAGGAACCCGGGGCCTAGGAGACAAGACAAAAGAATATCGAACTGAGTTGAGAACGCACAAGTTGGGAATCAAGTAAGATCGTAAAAATTAGCGTGCAAGACAACATGTCTCCCTTTCTCTAGAGAAAGGACTTATATACAAACTACAAATGGGGGGTTCCCGATCCGTTGGTTCAGAGTCCAACAGATCAGGCCCACTAAGATTTGGCCGTTTAACTAGCGGCGCCAACCACATCATTATCCCTAAGGAGGCTATACAAGATAGGTTACAAGTAGGGTGGCTAAAACTACTCTGACGGAGGCGTGGCAGGGGTCCAATCGTGGGCCCCGTGATTTGTCTGGTCAGACAGCTTCCATGCCCGTGGTCCCGGTCCTGTAGCATCCCAGGCCGAGGCCGGGCACATGTGATCTGCTTCCTGAAGTCCTCCGGTGAAGGGCCGGCTGAGGTGGTCCGAGGCTGAGCGCGTCTGCCGGGGCCGAGTGCATACAAATCTTGACGCGGCAGTGGCCCTCTTGAGACTTCAGTCTCTCTTCAGTTCCGCCCAGCTGAGTGGGCCTGAGCCTGGCTGGGTTGGGCCGCTATTTCCATTGGGTCGGATACCCCCATTCTAGGATATCCATCAGTTTACATCCCTAGAATGAATTTGGTACCATCTGATTCAGGGCTACCCTTAAAGTTCCAAAGAAGACAATTCTCGATCGCCTCATATTTTGCTATGACTATCAACAAAAGTCAAGGTCAAACATTGTCATTTGTGAGATTATTTTTAACCAAGTCACTGTTCAAACATAGTCAATTATATTTTGCTGTTTCACGAGTGAAGACAAAGACAAGATTAAAAATATTAGTTCTAGATGACAATGGAAACCCTTGCAAATATACCAAAAATGTTGTATACTCTGAAATCTTTCAGAAAATTTGGTATTGAAATAAACATTGTTAACTATACATTCTGTTCCTCAAATATTATTTATTTTACTTTGGCTTTTTTCATTTGTAGTCTTAAAAATCATGTGAGCAATATATTTTCCTTATTCCAAAAAATAAATTTCACTGAAATAATTTAGAATCTACATAAATTTCTTTTGACCCTGTGCATGGCACGGGTCAGAAGACTAGTGATATATATAATCACAAGTACGGAGTAAAAAAATTCATAAATAAATTATTTTTTACTTTTTAATTATTTGAGATTATTTGTTTATTCATAAGATGTACTCCCTCTGTCCCATTTCAAATTGTATGTTTGCTTTTTTTCTCCGTCCCAAAATAAGTTGCCTGTTAGTTGTTTTTGTAAACTTTTAAAAATAAAATACTTAAACTACCCCTAAAATAAGTCACTCTTCTTCACCTTATCATCTCATTCATCATCACCCCTCCCAAAAAGTAATGACAATTTTGAAAAATCAATTCTATTTTTTATTTTCCTTAAATATGTCCAAAAGTCAAAACAGGCGATTTAAATTGGGACGGAGGGAGTATAATTAATAAGAGGTGGCATTGCCAGCTCCTCATCACGGCTCTCATCACACATCCATATAATCAAATTGATGTAATTAAAAATTAAATTGATATAATGCAAAAAAAGAAATAAGAGCGAAATATGGCACAAAAAAATACAAGTACTCGATTAAAAAAACACAACTACTTGATTTAAAAAATATTTCATTAACATTGAAATTAAAAATTACATATAAAAAATTAAACCCAAATGAAACAAGAAAGAAGGAAAGCAAGAAGGAAATGAAAAAAAGAAAGAGAAAATAGTCGTGATGACCGTGATTGGCGTCACCACCATCACGGTCACGGGAGAGGTGGGCAAGTCAAGTGTTCCCTGCCCATTACGCATTGATGTGGCATTGCCAGCTCCTCATCACGGCTCCCATCACGCATCCACACCCAATGGCCTTATGATGCATTACAGAAAAGCTCATATGTTAATACTCCAACTAAGGGCAAGCGCATGGGTCGGGACGGTCCGAGATTAAGCATCGAGAGTATTTGGAGATACCTTTGACACCCACTGGAGAAACACACCATATGATATGCTATTTATATGGTCAAACTGGCCTTCACTCTACTAAAGAAATGGAGAGAATGTTTCCCAATTTAAACTAGCAACATAAAAAGACAATAAATTGAACAATAAACTCCACAACTGAACAAACACTGTTGCATGAACACATAAATAGTCATAACCCCAATCTAGTGTATAACAGGGGTTGGGGTAGGAAGCATTATGTTATATATATTCCATACAAACAGCTCTCATTCCAATCTCATCTCAAAATTGTCATTTCTGTCACAGCTATTCATCATGGTAAAGATACAAGCCAAGTCCAAACCGAGCACAAGCTCTGCAAAACGCAATCTCCTCAGCTACAGTAACCGGATCCCCAACGTTCTCATCCTCAGATGATACTGTCCCGGTCGACTCGCGGTATGCCTTCACAATTTAGATTGCCATGATTACTTAAATACTAACCCGAAACACATGCATTTGGATTTGTGTAAAACGACTAAAATGGTCACAAGAAATCGATATTAAACTATTTGAATAAAATTGGTTTGTGTACATATTGACCGATATGAGATTGTAAGAAACTAGAAACATACTGCAGATTTGTGTAAAATGACTTAAGTGGTTATTGGTTACAAGAATTGGAGAATAAATGGGTTGCATAACATCAGTTTGTGTACAATTTGACCAATGTGAGATCATAAGAAACTAGAGCACAGATGTGGAGATCATGTTAGTGTTAGATTACCTTAGATACAACATATTTAAGACCAGTGCAGGTAAAGAAATGTTAGACTAAATGAATTTTAAGATAATCGTAAACAGTTTGGTTTGTGGAACGTGATATTACTTATTTAGTCAAATTGACAGGATGCTTATTTAGTTCATAGACATAGGGTGGGAAGACCAGCAAATAGAGCAATCCCATGTTAAAATGTGTTCTGCTGGAGTTATTACAAAAAATAAATTATGCATTATACTTGGGCAAAAAGTGCGCCTTTGTTCCCTCTCTACTTTCAAGTAGAGGCAAGGTCTGCGTACACTCACCCTCCCCAGACCCTACTTTCATGGGATTATATTGAGTTGTTGTTGATATAGCAGATTGCATATACCCGATTCATTCCCCAACTCTAATAGAATGGCACAAACTAACCGTGTCGGGCTAAAAAAAATGTCCATGTCAATTTTCAACTGTTATCATTTCCATCATCAGCACCTTAACATCATCATCAACATCGGCACCTTAGGCTTCGTTTGGTACACGGAATTGGAATTGAATTCTTTAGAATTGAATTAGATAGAATTGAATCATAATGCAATTCCAAATCCTTTGTTTGGTATAATTACGGAAACGATATAGAATTGTATTATAGTTCCAAACTCTTTATTTGCTAACACAAAATTAGAAATAGAATTCATATGGAATTGTATTTTGGGATTTCTTGCAGTTCGATAATTCAAAGCAAAATCCTAGTTCTTTTCAAACCTCATTCAAACCTTAATTCTGTTAGCGGGATGTTAAAAATGTAAAATTTAAAATTTTAAAATTAAAGTGTAAAATTTAAAACTTTAAAAATAAAATTTTAAATTTTAAATTTTAAATTTTAAATTTTAAATTTTAAATTTTAAATTTTAAATTTTAAATTTTAAACTTAAAACTTAAAACTTAAAACTTAAAACTTAAAACTTAAAACTTAAAACTTAAAACTTAAAACTTAAAACTTAAAACTTAAAACTTAAAACTTAAAACTTAAAACTTAAAACTTAAAACTTAAAACTTAAAACTTAAAACTTAAAACTTAAAACTTAAAACTTAAAACTTAAAACTTAAAACTTAAAACTTACAACTTAAA